TCTATATATACATATATTATTTTTTTATTTTATGTGTATGGGTGTTTTCTCTGTCTGTATATGTGAAATCATGGAGTGTAATGCTGCGGAAACCAGAAGAGTGTACCAGATCATGTGGAACTGGAGTTAAGGATCATTGTTAACCACCGTGTGGGTGCTGGACACTGAACCTGGTCCTCTGCTAAAGCAGCCAGTGCTCTTAACTGCTGAGCCATCTCTCCAGCCACTCGCTCCTTTCTTTTTATTCGTGTACAATTCTAAGCATGCCTCTGCCTCAGAAACAGTTTTTGCTGTTGACTCTGTCCAGAATAACTCTGTCATCATCTTCAGTTTCCTAATTAAATGATGCCTCCTAGGAAGCTGGACTTTAATGCATCCATGAACTATTTTATGAAATTCTCACCACACAAGGATCTTTTTTATTTTATCTGCTTACTTCATGTCTACTTTGTAGTACTTTTCAACAATCAATTCTCTCTGTTCATCTGTTCATCTATCTCCCAGAACTTGAATAAAAGCTTCCTGGGAGATGAAGCTCCACCCAGTTTATTCATTGTTCTGTCCTTAGTACTCCATAAGCTGTCTTTCTCCAAAAGATTCAAATATTCCCTGCATAACACATGAATTACTCAAGTTCTATACAAATAAATGCACCTACTGTAAGAAAGTTCACATATCTTTCTCACTTGGCTTTGCACAATGTTCTCATTTTATCTTAATATGATGCATTTACCCATGATTCCAACATTGGTATGTAACTAACTACAGATCTGATTCAGATGCTACATGTTTCTAATAATATCTAGTTTCTGCTCTAATATCTATATAAAATATAAAATAATTGGTTATTATCTTGTGTTATCATTTCAAATAGTGTGCTACAAGTAAAAAAAATATTTATACCACCACTGTTCTTGAGCAAGTGATGCACGGTAATAAAAAGTACAGAAAATGCTAGAAATTAAAGATACGAAGCTATATCTAGGAAGAATTTTTGGCAAAGAGGTAACATGTAATATGACATAAGTATCTCTTAGGCTTCTCTAGAATACTTAATATGCATATGAAAATATTTATTAACTAAAAATAGAAATATTTGAACAGAAGAGAAATTGACATAAGACAGAAGTATTTTTGAAAAGTACCAACACTAATATCTTGGCATCAGGAAGCACAATCTTATAAACACCGATATGTGGAAGGCTTCTACTGAACAGAGTATGCAAATTAATCATAAGTGAACATTTCTGGGAGTAAGTTTTGTATTAATGAGAGCTTTCTGATGATGAAAAGTAAATATTAACATTGTGCACTATTCTACTATGTGGAATGTCCATTACTGTTACTTATAGTAATTGTAATAATTTTTATATAGTAATTT